TTCGGTTCTGGCTCTCAGTTTTGCTTCAGATTTCTGTAAGGAATACTACCCTAAGGAGTTAGGTGGAAATGAGCACATAAAAGTGAGTAAATATATCCAAAAAGTATTCTTGTTTTTTAATTTAAGCACAAACCACAAGCTATAAACAAAATTATAAAATACACATAATACACATTATCTTCTGCCGAGATACCAGATTTTAAAAAAGCTGAAATAAGATTTTTTGACAAGTAAACTGGTAAGGACAGGATGACGACAAGCTTGTCTGAAAGGAGAAAGGCCTAGATCTATTTACATCTCACAGGCTGTTATCCAGTGGGCTGGACTGCAGACACCCTGATAACAAACAAGGCGAACACCAGCCTCAACTAGTCTGCCACCCAGTCAGCACTACATGGGCCAACAGATGATCACTCACAGGGAACCAGCTTTACTAGTGTATTGAGCCCAATTTTTTTAAACCACTGGAATTGATACAGTTACTATCACCGCTCCCGGAACATGAACCCCTTCGTCTATGAAGTATTTCACAATGATTAACCTGAACTACCTGCATTTGAATCTATACCCACATAAATACATCTTACACTCATTTTAGCTCAGCCTCTCCTAACTCAGCTATATCTCCACTCTAAACCAGCATCTGCTGAAGCTACACTCTTTTCTCCTCCAAGCCAGGCTTTAATTTCCTTAATTGTGTGTCACTATCCACATCTTCAGTTTAAGTCTTCCTGGTGCTAAGATATCCAAAAGCAAACAGCACTGCAGCAGTGCATTACAGAATACACCAGATTCCCCAGATTCAGTAACTCTGTATTCAGTCCCAGATTCTTCTTACAATTGTATGAGAAGCCAGAATCCCATTTTTTGGTCCATTATCCCTTTTTTCGCCTGCTTCCTCCTGTTGCTGGTTTTCAAGCACACTCCTCCCCCGTAGGAAGGCAAGCAGAGTTATGGAGACTCCCAATTTAAAAGTTTATCCTGCTTACTGCTCCCTTAACCCTGCTTGATTTCTGAATGGCCATGGAAATGCAGTTGGAAATGCACAAGCGGCAAAACTAAAAATCTCTAGATACATGTATCAACTGGGTAGAGACAGCCCTAACCTAGCTGAAGTTTAAGGCACACATCTTTAACACAGTATTTACAACGAAGTATTTAAAATGTGTATTACAATGGCAATGTAAGTTTTGCCACATTATCTGTTTTCCAAACTCTGGCCATGACTTTTATCCAGTGCAATAGAATCAGTACAGCTGTAGGGCATTTTGAAGGCACAAGTGGATGAGCCATTGCCATCCATCAGTGAGGAGTCAATGTAATAATTTCCCCACGTGACAGAACTACTGCCTGTTCTTTCACAGAGGTGGCTAATATTTGTTGCTTCTCTCCAGAGATCGGAAGCAGCATTACCAGTCTGCTGGGCAATCCTGCCTCCCAGCAGCAGACAGGAAGAGCCTACCAGTAAGTCATTTATAACATGAGAACAACAATGGTGTTGGAAATGCAGTTTCAGCACTATGCATGGTACCACCTTCCATCCTGGTATTTCAAATGGTTCCAGATAGAGCCTAACAGTCCTCCAAAGATTGGCCAGTGTCCATCACCTCAGCAGGACACTCCCAGTCAGAGCTCCGTTGAATGTCCTGGAAAAACAGCTGCTGCTGGAGGCTCTTTAGACTGTTCAAGACCTCTGCAGAGAGTTCATGGAAGACCACCTGGTTTTCCTGATTCTCCTCCTCTTCTTCTTCCTCCTCCTCCATAAGGTCATCAGGAGGCAAAGGAGAACATCTAGAGATGTAGCCCTGGTCTGATTGCACTGACTGTCTTTGGTCTTTGCATTGGTCATCAAAGACCAACTGGTGTTGCTTGTAAGCATCCTCTTGGCAGAGAAATGGCTCTGAAGGAATGACACTCTGCTGACAAAGAGAGTACATAAGTCCATTCAGATGGTGTCTCAGGTTACCTGAGAGGTTTGCAGGACTCTGGTCATCTATTGCTGAAACTTCAGAGTCATCATGGAGGATGATATTATTCTTCATTGGAACACTTGTCTCCAGAAGAGGAAGTCCTTCCATACAGTCCTCATTACTCAGCACATGCTGGCCAAGTATATTTCTATCTTCCATGGAAGAGACTGGCTCTACTACCTGAACTAGAGGAGCCTCATCCATAGGAAGGACCACAGTCTGAGAAGTCATATCCCCACATGGATTAAGCTGAGGTTGCACTTTACAGCCTCTGCTTTCACCTTCATGCATGTGGAGGTCGATGACATAAGAGCAGTTAGGGTCAGGCTCACGTAGCTGCAGCTGGTGTTTCACAATTCCACCTGGTTCACTTAGCAAGGAATCCACCTGGCTCTCTCTGTTTAGGGACAGCGACTCTTCCTCATTATCCAAGCAGATGGTTTCACTCTCAAACCAGTCTGGGTGCTCAGTCTGCCAGTTCTTGAACTTCTGTACTGCCTCTTTCAACTTCCTCCCACTAGGGGTGTCGATGTAGTTTTCGGCTGTGATTTCCTGGATTCGATGGATGCGGCCAGGTTCAAACTTCTCCAGATCCTGAATCCGAAAATAAATATCCTCAAACTTGTTCATCAGTTGGTACCTGGATGTGACGTTGAATAGATCAGGTATATCTTTCTCACTACTTATCCCCTCAAAATAGCAGACTATATACATTCCAAAACATGCTGGCTTCTTGAAGTCTGGGAGGATCAGATTCAAGGCTGGGGTGAACAGGTCCCCCATTGGTTTTTGCCGATCTTGCTTGAGACACACAGGCTCACTCCCAAGCATGGCCTGCCATTTGGCCTGGGTGCCCCGTGAACATAAGATGATGATCTTTGAAGACAGGTCTTCCATTTCCTTCTTCTGCCGAGTAAGCCAGGGTAATGGCCCTAACTCTGAGATCTGATGATCTTCTAGCAGATCTAAGGCTACAGCAGTGCCACAGACCGTCATCAGAAACTCAGCAAACTTCAGCACCACATCCACGTACAGCAGGTGATCAGCAGAGTACACAATCCAAACTTTTCGGGGCTTCAATGGTGGCAGAGGAAGGTCAGCATATGGTGCTGCTGAAAGACAGAAAAATATTCATTCCAGCCACATTCCCAAAACTGTAATAGTGCAAGTCAGCAGCAATCAATGTAGGACCATATTAATGAAAGGTTATAGCAACTACCAGTTCTGAAGCTATTTTGGCATCATATGCAGGTAACATCCTACTGTATAAATTTAATATAAAAGTCCAGACAGTGGAGTGGTGATTTATAACGATGCCTGAATAGTTCATGGAATTTCACCACACAAAACCAGCACACCAGCTTCAACAGGCTTGCAAATGTAGCTATATTCCCTCCTGGAGAGGTGAGTGCACCCACCCCAAAACAATCTCACATTGCTATGGCTTAGATGATAAGCCAAGTTTTTTTATTTTGCCAGTACAGCCTCAATTGCATCAAAAGCCTCACCACTTTACAAAGCAATTATCTCCCATCTGGCAAATATGGCATTCCAAATTCCATATACGCAGTTTGTTTTAGCTCAACAGGAAGATCCTAAGGCTACCTTTTGGTTTTGAGAAGCACCTAGAGTAGCAGGGCTTATGAGAGCCCCTTCTGGACAACTGTGTGAGACTTCCAGAACGCATTACACGTGCTCAATAAAACACAGGCAGGATGTCTTACCAGTCTGCAAATTATTGTGGTTGCATTTCCCTCGCCAGTGTCCTGGAAGAGAAAGTCACTGTCAGTTCTGAAAACACGAAATAAGATCATATCCTTAAAATGACAACACCTTCCAAAGTTAAAAAAACCCCATAATCTTTAACTGTGGAGGGATAAAACCACGGGGAGAGAGAGAAGTCTAATAAAGAAATTACTAAATGAATAGACTTTTCTACAGCTGATTTTGCCATGTACTTCACTACATTTTTACCAACCAGTGAGTTGCACGGTTTCCATGTAATAACTGCCTCATGGCTGCAGCACAAAAGACTAGGAATTAGTCCTTAAGTACCCAATTTTCCAACCCACTCAATGTCAACCTCTGTGCCCTGCCTCCCTTCTTACATCTTAATTGACAAACATTATTTAAGCTCGAAATAGCATAAAAATGAATTTTGTACAGATTTTGGGAGACAGGGGAAAGATTGCAGTCTGGACAAATAGGAAGCTTCTGCAGAACTCTTATGCAATACAGGAGAAAAGTAAATGGAAAAGATATCGGTAGCAATCTGCAGAAAACAAAGGGCTGAACTATTAAGTTCCTTTTTCTCTTCATAAGCTCTGAAGTGCTATGGAAATGGAGTATCAGTGCATAACCCATGGAAGGCTTTACTTAACTAGGTGGATGGTACTAAGATGTTACAAGTCCTATGATGCAAAACAGAAGAAAGTGTTTACATAGACATTACCTCAGTGGCAAGACATCAGAACAGCAAGGAAGAAAACAGCAATAAGAATAGGTACACAAGTAGGAAAAACAGTTTTAGCATTGAATCTTTTCTTCCTAGCTGGTATGAGTCTTACCTGCTCGTTTTTTGGTCATACACATTACACCTGCTATGACTGATCCCACCAGTAACACACAGATCCCAGTGATACACCAGTAGAGCCATATAATCGTATCGCCTGCAGTACAAAAATAATGCTCAGACATTGCTATAAGCAAACAGAGCTTCATCAAAGAACAGAAGTTTCCTGAGCAGCAGGGGCCAAGGGAGAAGGATCCTGGCTCTGCCTAAACCCACAGGTAGTCCAGCACTTCCCTATTACAGCATAACACAGTCACTTCTCAAATCAAATCCCTGCTTTCATGTTGATGCTCTGCACCATAAACTTGCTCCACAAAGAACCATATGTGCAGCACACTGAAAACACAGATCAATAACCTTCCTCTAAATAGCAACTTTTACCCAGCTTTGACAGGCATGCCTCCCATGTCCTGCCTGTTCATGTAATCGACCTTAAAATAAACTCTAAAAAAAAAAAAAAAAAATTAAAAAAAAAAAAAAAAAATCACCATTTTGCATGATGTATTTTTTTCAATCTACAGGTGTTTTTCTTTTTAAATCTTCAGCAAACTGGCAAACTAACTCCTTACAGGTGCTGTTGCAGCCCAAAAAAAAGATTTCAAATCATTATGCACATGATTTATCTTGATATTCATAAAAATGAATATATGCACGCTATTATCTCCAAAGCTGTTTTATATTATGCAAATTTTTTAACACTGAGCAAAGTGACAGAAAGTATTTTATATTAAGCCTCTTCTTGTCAAAACTGTTTCTCAAAGAATTTTGTGCAAGTGAAGTATGTCTAAAAAATTGCTCTTTAAGGTTCACGCTGCATACAAATACTTGCCTTGTGAAATCATGGCGAAGTAACTTTTAACACAATTCATTTCTGAGCTCAGTGTTACAAGGGGACATTTCCTGCCCATCGGGTCATTCCCAAGGAGGATCATTTGTTAGTCTATATGACAGGAAAAGAGCAGCAGAAAAGAAAAAAAGAGTTTCAGGGTATTGGAAGAACTTCTTACCTGATGGGTCTGTACCTGCAAAAGACAAGAGTTACATTTAAAAGATCAGCTCTCATCTGTAAGACAATGGGAATCTAATTTACAGAAAAGGAGTTCTCACTTGGAGCTGGTGAACATGGGATGAAAGCAGAGTGTCTCAGACAGTCTGTGCCACAGTTCGCAAAAAATGGCTGAATCTGCAGTTAAAATAAGTTCAGAAAACAGAAGCTATTCTTAAAAGCAATTTTGTACTCTACTTTACCTTCCCCCGCCTCGATATTCGCTGTATTTTAGCGCAAGGACCCGGAGTCTCCCTTTCCCTTCAGCAAACAATATTAATCAAGATTTCTACACTACATTAAGAAGGCAGCAAGCTCCTGAGGTTGAACACTTGCCATTCCTCCTCCACAGTCTCCAATATGGCAACCCTATAGTAAGGAAAAGCCACTGTCTACAGATAATACCTATATAAAAAATATTGTTCTTTCAGCTGCAATAATTATTTCCCTGATACAGATAATTATGGATTAGTGAATCTCAGAACAGAACACTGTGTAAACCCCTGTAACATTCCAAAGCTGCTCACAACATCGCTGGTGAAGGAAGGACACAGGGAAAAGAGCAAGATCCTACCTGTATTTTGTAGTTGCAGCAAGCTTTTATGTTTTTCTCCATTTTGATAGTGACATTCACTTGCTGTTGCAGCCCACCCTGCAGAAATCAGATGTAAGTTATAGGGGAAGGAAGAAAATTAAATGCAAGCAGGAAGAAAGGAGTCAACATGAGAATATGGAGTGGTCCAAAGAAGCAGCAATTTCTCTTTTGTTTGGGAGAGGAACAAAAAGCCCACAAAACAAAACAGATAAATGGGGTCTGGTCACCATTACTGCAGGTGTCCCGCATGACAGACCTGGTAATACAATTCAGAGAGGCGGCTAAGGTTGCATAGGTAACAGGAAATAGTTAAAGATGTGCACTGTATAACTGCAAACATGTTAACTTAAACATACAGTTTCTTAACAAGGTAAATGTCTTCAGTCATTTAATGTGTAAACATTAACAAGCTTCCTCTAATTAAAAAAGCTGTCAACACTGCTTCTTCTGACACTAGAACAGACAAGTAAATTGCCTTTGTTACCTGATGTATACTATCAATATAATGATAATCTAAATACATTCTTTACAATGACTAGCCAATACATACTCCATACTGAGGTACATTCTCTTCTACCAGGGAAATATGCACACCAGCTCTGCCAGTCATAACTTAATACATATCAGTGGATGCAGTATGAAGGGTTTTAAGCGTGAAAGGAATGGAAAGATTAAACAAACTGAGTGCCAATATATCTGCCCTCCCACAAGGAAGGGTGGGGACTGGTACCAAATATTCAGCATTTTTCCTCCCTCAGATGCCTGAAGAGGAACATTTCTGTCTCAGAAGATACTCTGGATCTATTTTGAGCTTCTCAACAACAGGCTCTAAGACTTACAGGAATTTATTCTCAGTTTGGCTGAAGCATCTGTTATAAGCCCACTTATTCCTGATCTGAACAAAAAAATAATTAATTACCCTCCCCTGCTGCCATCACATTTGATAAACCAATGATTTATTGAAACTTTGTACTTCCATTTTTTTTTGATTTATTTAGTCTTAACCCACAGGCATTGGCTTGACAAAGGTAAAAGAGCCCAGAAAATCACCTATGAAATTTCAGGCTTCAAGGAAGATGTTTACAGACTGCTCCATGCATTATAAACCCTCTTATCTTTTATCCATCAAATTCCTGGAATAGATTTCCTCTTTCCAAAGGCAATTAAAAAATTGTGAAAGTAATTCCTTGAAAATTGCTGTTCAAATGCATTTGTTACACCTTCTACATCATGGTACTCCATCCCTGGTGGTGTTCAAGGCCAGGTTTGACAGACCCTTGGGCAACATGGTTTAGTGTGAGGTGTCCCTGCCCGTGGCAGGGGGGTTAGAACTAGATGATCTTAAGGTCCTTTCCAACCCAAACCATTCTATGATTCTATGGCTCCAAGTCCTTCTTTAGCAACCACTAAAGAAATGTTCCTCTAAAATACCACATCAGGTATAATTTCTGAAGCTAGTTACCTCGGTGAAATCACGTGTGATCATTTTACACTTCTTCTCATTCAGGAAACTGGCCACATGAATTTGGTATCGGGCTGACTCCATCCATGGGTTAAAGCTCACAAGCAGAGTTGTATCATCTAGACTTTGACCTTGGATCCTGGGCTCCCACAAGCTGCCTGAAATAGTGCAGATATCCCCAAGTTTCTCAACTGTCAAAAATATTTCAACAGAGAACCCATGTCTATGTTAAAGAAAACTCTCCTCCCCAGGTTTCCCACAGCTGTTTCGCCAACACCTGATTCTTAGAAAAATACTTGAGTGGTTTAGGAACAGGAACAGCTTGACTGGGTGCCTCTGAGGAGGGACAAAGAAATTCCTGGGTTTTTATACCCTTACATTCTATGCACCTGACCATCACGCACTGTTCACATGCCTCTTGGTCCAATGGTTTTGGTTCTCCTCATCCATCATTGGATTCTTCCGTTGTCTCAAGGTGGTCCATAATTTTATTTTAATTTCTCTGGTTGTTGCTCCTTGCTAACAGATCCAACGCCTTTGTCTTCTAATTTGCACTGGTCTCTAGGTCTTCATTTACATAACTAAGCACAGGTTGTAAATTAAGTTCAGCTTTATCTAGGTGGGAGTTAGCTGTTTGCGGTCTAAAGCTCCAGCAACTTCAGCTTCCCATGCTAAGCAAAACCACCCAGTCAAAACAACTCAGTTAAAGGAATTCAAACTAAACAAGCTGAAAGAGTTGGGCTTGTTCAGCCTGGAGAAGAAAAGGCTTTGCGGAGACCTTATCACAGTCTTCCAGTGCCTAAAGGGGGCTACAAGAAATCTGGAGAGGGACTTTTTGCAAGCATATGTAGTGGCAGGACAAGGGGGAATGACTTTAAGCTGACAGAAGAGAGATTTAGATTAGACATTAGGAAGGAGTTTTTTTCATTCTGGGGGTGCTGAGGTGCTGGCACAGGTTGCCCAGAGAAGTAGTGGCTACCCCATCCCTGGCAGTGTTCAAGGCCAGGTTGGACAGGGCTTTGAGCAACCTGGTCTAGTGGAAGGTGTCCCTGCACATGGCAGGGGGTTGGAACTAGATAGTTTTTAAGATCCCTTCCAACCCAAACCATTCTGTGATGCTGTGAAACTTAATTCGCAACATCTAAATAACTCAAAGATTTTTACCTGTCTTTATACATGGGATGGTTCTTTTCATCAGAGAGTCCTTGCAATCTGCAAGAAGGACCACAAGTGACTAGTTAGAAACACTAGAAACACTGTACTTCCATTTAGGGGAAAAAAACCAAAAAAACAAAAAAACAAACAAAAAAAAAAGAAGCTGATTTTCTTATCAGAAGCCAGACACCTAACCAAGCCCTCCTTGATAGAGACCATTTGTCAATGCAGTAGCAAAATATTGCAGTAGAATAACATTAGTTTCCAATGTATAAACTAGACCCCCTCCCATGATGTTATGGTGCCTTTTTTTTTTCCAGAACAGACATAATTAATAAGAAAAGACTGAAAACATACAATACTTATAATAACAGTAACATTTGACAACCCCTGTTCATGTAAGACATCTGCAGACAGGGTCATAGTGGAATTAAGGCTTCATGTTGATCTCTGGGCCTTGTGATCATGCCACAGCAATAGATTCCTCCAAAAGCATTCTGCCCCAGGAAAACTAGGAGGCTGGAATATTTCTTGATCCCAAAATACGTTTCCAAATTTATAATTCGTTTAGCACATTGGCCTTGCTCTTTGGGACCTTCATCAGTCCAACCCAGAGTTACGTATTCAACATTAAGCAATGTGGGATTTACAAGTCTCAGTTTAAACTGTGTCTCTCCTCCCACATTTTGATAAAGTAAAAGGCACAACTCCCTGCTTAAGCAGTTGAAAAAAAACAAACCCAACCTTGCACATCTTATATTTCCCACTTTCAAAGTTGGAATACTTACAGTGCCCCTGTAATTCACCTGTAAGCTCTAATCAGCAAAGTTCCCTGTAACTGTTGAGCTTCACACAATGCATTAGGTTTCTGAAGAACAGTGGAGGATAAAAGCCAGGAAGTTCTCTAAGTGTTCAGGTATATGAAAGGGTAAGAGGGCTGAAACCCAAGTTTCTCCTTTTCCAGCTCACATTGACTGACACATCACATACTTTGCCATTTTATAAAATCATTTTGACAACTATAAACAAGTTAAAAAGAAAATTATGGAACAGTTTAAACTTTGTACTGAGTGCCAAAGTTTCACGAACAAGTCAGTGCAGCCAGAGGGCACTGCAGATACCCAGCATCTTTGGGGAAAAAGAACCAAAAGTTCTTTTTAGTTATAGGCAAATTTTCACATACACACAGAAGAGTCCTAAGCTCAAGACCTAGAGTAAACTGGATATCTCTTACCAGGCACTGTGAGAGATGTGGACTTGTAATTGTAGTCTCCAGCTACACCCAGTTTGGGAAGGTGGTAGACAGTAACTTGATAAGTCTGGCCAGGTTCCACTTCAAAACGGTCAAAAGTGAAATTCCACTGAAAACAAAACACATTCACAAAGACTTAAACAAGAATGTTTTTCAATAAAGGCATTGAAATTAACAGCTAACTTGGCTGACTTGTTCCACTGTGTTCCCTCATCCCATATGACTTTATTTTTTAAGCTTGACGATTAACAAAACGGAACTCAAGTATATTAAACGTACGAGTGCTTAGTTTGTCCCAAAACCTTCTGTTTGGAATAAGAAATATACAGTTATTTCTTGGGATCTTTGAGCTAATACAACAGTCTTATGCTCAGCATTTTTCTGATGAGTTTCCTAGGCTCAGAGCTGATGGATCACCTCCAAGGTTGGTGCTTTCCTCCATATCAAGAGAGTACAAGAAAGAAGTGGAAGTAAAGTAAAGGTTGAGTTAAAAAGACTAGAAGAGGCACAGCTGTCAAGCAGAATGCAAAACCTCCTACAGTTATTTACTTTAAGCAATATCCAGGATGATGACAAGTACTAGGCACTGAAAGCAACAATTCTTAAAACCTGAAGAATGGGAAAAGCAAAAGAGTCACCAAGATAAGTAAACAGCTTGTACACAGTTACACACAAGTGTAAAACAAACTGGAACAGACAGCATGTCTCAAATCCAATATCTTGATTACTTTCATCGACTCTAAGAGTCTTTTTTTTTTTTTTTTGATAACCTTGCTGTATGACAGTGAAAGTAGATACAAACCAATGGACTAGAAAAAGCAGGTTAGAGCCCTTTGCACTCACCCGGCCTCCGTCCGGACGGACCTGAAGTGTCAAGTTGTTCTGAAAGTCAAACTGGGCACAGATCTGTTGATTGCTGTTCACTTGCATCACAGCCAGCTCTGCCCCTTGGAGATACTGGATGCTAGCTGCAGGGTCAGGGACAGAGAAATGTATCTTTCTTTTTCTGTCATCTGCATGTGCAGGGTTGCAAGCCTCACAGGGATTACCACTGTGCCTGGACTTGTCACAGGCTTACTGCTTTGAAGTGCTGAGGGTCCTAACACAAAGGCCATGAGAAGTGAGCATGCAGGGTTGACTGACAGCACTCTCAGCTTAAAGGTTGTCCTGCATGGCAAGAGCTCCATCTGTGCAAATGAAAGGGCAAAGTAGATGGCAACTTCATTCTCTCAGGCACCCTGGCAGTTCCACAAGTTCAGTGTGGTATTTAGCTCTGCCTCTTAAGGCTGCTTCATGCAGTTTGGGCACCAAAGCAAACATGCTTTTATTGTGGTACTGACAGTCCCAGTGAGAAAGTTTATAACCATAGCTACACAAAATTACTGGGTTACCCCAAGTCACACCTGCTTTTGCACTACAATAGCTATACTGAGATAAACAGCCCTCAGACAAGGCCCTGCAGAAGGAAGATACGAACACATTTAATTCTATCATGAATCAGTGCAAAGCCATGGACAAGAGCAGGTAAGGGAAGCATCATACACAAATAAACAATCAAAGATAACCGGAGAGTACGAAAACTTATTTTACTGTTACTCATTTAGGCTCCAGCAATGAGATAATTATTCCTTTAGCAAGACATGTGTGTATAGGAAACCTAAGTTACAAGGATTAGACAAGCCGAAATGGGAGGAACTTGCACTGGTTAACAGTGCATAATTTATTTGCACTTTCTCAAATTAATGCTCATTTGTTCAGTTTGTAGATCTAATTCCCCTGCATGAGACTGCTGTGTTCATTACTATGCCTTGAAAAGGCAATGTTTGCAGTGCAAATCTCCGTTCTCCCCTCACTACCTGTGGAAAAGGTGTGGGACACTTGATTCCATTTTTACCTGCTTTTCCCATTTTAAATGTCATTATCCCATACTAGTGGAAGCACTCTAAATTCTTGAATACCCAGCACACCCAAAGCCCTAATTCAATCATCAAGAAAAATCAAAAAACATCTCCCAAAGCAAACAAAATGAAGCAGCCGAACTCCCAAATTCAGAGGTCTGCTTTCATGACTAGATCAGTAAAAGACTTCACGTCATAACTCTTCTCCCTATCCTTACTAGATCACACCTAAATCTTCTGCTCCATGTTCACATTAAACCACCACCACTTACCATCAGTGGCCACTTTCCATTCTATCCGAAGCACAGGAAGCAGTTTTCCATCCATCTGACGGAAAATGTCAGAAGAGACATGAAGACTGCTTGGAGCAGAAGGAGTCCACGTGCGAACCTGCAGCCAGCTCACCTCCATGCAGGTACCTGTCCAGCAAATGAAACCCACCATTTAGAGTGGGGCTGAGGAATTGCAATTATGGCCTGCCCTTTGGGTCAGGGTTACTCAGAGGGCAAAACTGGGTGACACACTGCTTCACAGTTAAGAAAGGCGATCTTCAGCACACAAGTACTTTATAAATTGCCTGCAATATTCTGCACTCACTCATTCTAGTTACTTACACTTCCTCTTTTCCTTAAAATCCATTAGTAATTACCACAATCAGGCTAAACAGGTCAAGTGAGTTTACACAGTATCTCCTGCTGCTGGAACAGACCTACATTAGAGAAGTAGTACTGATTTCCAGCCTTCCAATGGCAAGAAGTCTGTCAGATACCCAGGGAAATTGTACCAATAGTTAATTACTTCGTTTAAAAAAAAAATTACTTCTAATACGAATATACATCTAAATTCAGTTCCCACAACTGCTTGTTATGCCTTTCTTAAATGATCTACTTACATCCATGTAAGACATCTGACATATCAGAGCATACTAAAAACAGTATGGTCAGTCCCTCCAGTCCAAAGACACTTTCAGTCTTTTTTGCTGCGTCAGTGATGGGAACAGTGGAAAATGGGCACTATTCTTGTAACAGCATGGGTTTAGGTTTAGGAAGTAAACAGACAATCCTCAAAGGCTCATTTACCAGAAAATAACTACAGAAAATCTGGCAAGATTAAAGTACCTTTCAGGAACGAGTGCACTCA